AATCCTATGTAAATTATTATTTTTTACTTTTGTTCTTTTATTGTATATATATATATACATATATATATCAAAAGAATAGATTTTATCCTTTTTCAGTATTTCAAAAACTAAAATTTTTTTTCATTTTCTAAATAGTTGGTTCATATGATTAATAACTTAAAATTTGTACTTTTTATTTTTAGTTGCAAAAAAAGTTAAAAGATGAATTCATTATCATAATAGTCTGTGAAAGGAACGACTCATAAATAAAAAGTTTTTCTCTCTAATTTTATAAAATGTTATCAGCATTACAGTACAACAACATTGCATGAAATGATGTATAATACAAGACAGCTTCTTACTATTAAAGTAATTGTTTAAGTGTAACAGTGAATATTTGATTGCTACTTACTTTAAACCAAAAAACAAATGCAGTTGTTTTAGAATAGATGATAATGCCCTGTTTTTTCTTTTTCCTTTCTTTTTTTCCATTCCAGATGTATCAGGTTTACCACTGTATACTCCACACATCTCTGGTCAAAATACTTCAGAATCTTCTAAGGCTGTTAATGCTTCATTTTTGCTCACACTTCTCCTCAGATTGCAACAGTGTTGTGCACATCTGAGTCTCCTAGCCAAAGTATGTACTGAACAGTTAATGCATTATTTTTTTTTGGTACTTCTAAGACTGAAATATGCACATTTGAATCTCCCAGCCAAAATATGAACTTTGCTGTCTCTTCTAAGGCTGCAGTTTTGACATAATGTGTTTTGTAATTAAAGTATATACTGAATAATTAATTTTTTAAACTTCTCAGCAGCAGTACTATAAACAGGGACAGCAGTAATTTGTGTGTGGAGGGGGAACAAAGGACATATTGATTCCCTCTCCAACCAGTCATTAAGGGGTGCCTATTTTGTCAAAAATCACAAAAAATGTACAAAGTTATCCAGTAATAAGCTGTGGAAAATGTAACTATATTTCCACCTATGCCGAGGTATTTCATTAACTGAAAAGTGACGATGTTTAAAATATTACCACATTCAACAACATGTTATAACTTGCTACAAATGTATTGACACCTTAGTTCATAATACCCAAAATATATTTAACCTTTTAGAACTTCAAAAAATATTATTGTTATGTACAGAAGGATCTTCTAGCCAAAATGTGGTATAGATTATCAGTGCTTTATGCTTCATTGCTATTTAATAATCTTGTAACTGCAGTAGAACTGCAAACATCTGTTGTTTCTAAATCATGCTTTAACCTGATAGTACCTCACTTTTCTTGAAACATCTCCACAGGCAACAACGCTTGTGTGATATAAGATTTATACTGTTAAACCTTGCATCTTCCTGAATTTTCTCACACAATATTTGTTGTAAACATCTAACATCTCATTTATCAAATTAGAAAAATGTTAAATTTTAACTAACAAAAGATATAACTTCATTTTATATTTAATTATTTTCTAAGTAGAATACTAAAAGTGATTTTTGATCAAAAACGCTCATCGTATGCATTAAAAATATTATTCTTTTAATTAGTATAATAATTTTACTTGTACAAATATAAGTGTCATATAAATTCATCAATTCTGAATTTTTTTGTTTCAGGAATATGTTTTATTCTGGTATTGCCTTAACTACAGTAAAAGGTTCAATTTAATGATAGTGTTATTTTTTTACTTTTAATATAAATACATCATATTTATTTTTCTTGGAATTTTCTGTTTTTCTTTTGTATCTTAGATGAATAAGATAAACAACTTTATTTCTCAATAAAGTCCATAACATTTTTTATTTTAGTAATTTACTTTTGTGATTTGATCCAGGCAGTTGAGAATGATGTCCTTGTGACATCTTCATCAGATGGAATAGAGGATGAAGAAGACAAGCTTTCAGCCCAACTAATGGGATTATCTGTGAGAGACAAAAACATTGCTGAATGTAGTTTATTACATCAAAATATCAACCAAAAGGATAGATCTTCTAGTCTAAATCTTGGGATTTATAAAAGTGATCCAGACTTTGAAAAGGATGCCACCAGTACTAAGGTAGAATATCTGAACAAAACACGCTAGAAAGTTTTTTGTTCCAAAAATGATATACAAAACAGATTGCCCATAGTACTATTGTAGCAATCTCTTTTTTAAACACATTTAAATATTAAGTAAAAAACTGTGGAATGTTCTAAGCAATAAAACATTTTTTTTAAGTAAACCATGTATTATACCTTAACCCTTCCATTATTTAGGTGAGGTAAAAAAAAAACACCCCATGCACACAAAAAATTAAATTACTTTATGAAATCATAGCATGCAAAAGTAAAGAATATACACGAAAAAGTCATATAATCTGTTATTTTCTCTACCCTAACTCTATACAATGTTGGTCAATTTGACCAACCTCGTAACTACCAAGAAAAATCAAAATAAATCTAAATTAGACGTTTTTTCTTTCTAGAATGACTTCAGATTGTAACATGAAACTACAGTTGTTTATCCCAAGTAATTTTAAACTCATAACAGTATACATGTATTTATAATTAAATTTTATTTAATGCTCTTTGAACCGTGTCTAAATACTATTCGTGCCATTATAAGTTGTAAATCACTTGGGAAATGTGGAGGTCACATTACATTATTGAATTACGTTACCCATGAGCTGCTTGTGTGCATGCCTCATGAAACATTTTTATTATATTATTATTATTTATTTTATCTAATCTAACCTAAAGAGATCCCTATTTTTACATTTTAGTTACTTTTATAATAATAAATAAAGAATAAACATGATATAAAGTACGTACTTGAATCTTCTTTTTTCTTGCTGTCTATTGTTGATGACACTGAACCCTATGTTTATTAAATAATGCACCAAAGAACATAGACTAATAACATGCAAAAAGTAGACAATTTTTCTGGCTTTCCAACTATGTGACAAGAGCCATTACAAATTCATCCAGGGTAGTCGTTATCTTTCCCATGGTAACAAAGCTTGTACTAACAGTGAAATTGACAATTCTTCATTTAGAAAACAATATGTCATTTGATAGATGAAAACCTTGGCTTTCAATTGGTTATAGATAATGTAGAATTAAACGTAAGAGAGAACTCCTGTAAGGGGGGAGGATGTGACAGGTGGTGTGGCAAGAGGGATCTGAATTTCTATTTGATTGCTCTGTAACCAAACAAAATTGAAAGCTTTAAAAATTATGGTTTGTCTGAGCAATATTGATTTTACATTGAGTAATTTGTGTTTAATTTCATACTTATTGGAGGGGTAGTGGATAAAATAGAGAAGAGAAGATGCCTAGAGAAATGTGTCACACTAGTAAAAATTCAGGAATTTTTTCAAATATTGGCATATAAAATTAAGAACGTAAAACTTGTATACTATTAGAATATGGATTATTAGCTAAATATGTATGCTATACTAATTGGAATAACATAAACAAAAAAGTAATAAAATTTTGAATATAAGTCATTAAAACCTCGTGTCATGCCTAGTAATGGATGCCCGTCATTAAAGGGTTAAGCACCAAAGCATATTTACTCAAAAAAGTGTTGAGTAGAATGTCAGTATAAAAGTTTTAAAAAATGGGGTTGCTGTTCTTAACATCAAAAGTTTAGTGAACAAAGTGATTCTAATAACTTGTGAGTGAAAGCAAAGAATATGTAATAATACAAGTTGAAAAATATAAAAAAACAAATTGAAAGTATAGAAATGGTTGCACCAAAAAGTGAGGAAACAAGGTAGGAATGGGCATGGTATAATAACACTTTCTCTGTTCACCCTCACAAGAGGGTGTGTCCAACATCCTCTCCATGTCTACTTTGTTTATTTTTCAATAAACCAGGCAGATTAAACTTATCAAATCTAGTTTTGCTTATCATACAATGACTAGAATTTTCTGTGAATCATATTATTGGAGGTAATACATGTAATGTAAGTCTGTTTATATGACATGAAAAGAATCAGATATTCATGTGGACTCATAGTTGTATGTTGTTTTTTCTTTATAGTTTGTCCCTCCATTTGCAATTGCATGAGAAGGCAACAGAATTTTGTACATTAGCTGCATAGGTGGATTAAAATACAAAGTTAAAAAATTCTAAGAGGTTTCAGTGTATTGGGATCATGGACTTGTTACTGTATGTACAAAAGTAGAAGAATCATAAACATACTTTTATATGTTCCACAAATTGTATAGTATCATGAACACAGAAAACGAAGTAGGAATGGACCAGATGTTAGATACACCCCCTTGTAAGGTTGTACAGAGGAAGTTTTATTACACCATGCCCATTCCTACATTGTTTCCTCACTTTTTGGTGCACCCATTCCTATACTTTAATTTTTTTCTATCTGCTTGCTTATGCAATTTTTTTATACAAAATGACATGATCTTATGCATCATTCAATTGTGTTGATATCCTGTATGTATATCATTAGTGTGGGTGTGCACCATAATATTAAGGTGTGTGTACATATTGTGTATGTGCATGTGTCTGTACACGTGATGGCACACACACTGTAGTGTGCAATGTCATTTGGGTGATGATGTGTGAGTTGTGGTTGTATGCATATATTAAGGGTTGATAAGTTAGTTAAGGGTACCTGGCTGAATATTTGGCCCAGCTGGGTATTGGGCTACCCGGTACTAAAAGTTACAGTAAATAATTGGTTTAGTTAAAAAAAACTGACTTTCTGAAGTGTTTCTATAACTTGTAATTTTGTATGTAGTTTGTTTATGACCTAAGGGTGTCTCTCAAATACTTTTGAATATTTATTAATTGGTTGTTAAATATGTATATGTGTAAATAGTTTCTATTGCATGTATTTTGTATCCGTCATGTTCCTACTATAAGTACTGTACTTATGATGTCAACCACACTATATCTGCCATATCCAGTGCTGTTTTTGCCCCTATATAGGGCTCACTATGTCAGCTTGAATATAAATTGTTAGATTGTGAACTACATTAAAGTAAGTAAATTGTAATTATTATCAATTCTATTTAAGTCATTAACAGATGTACACTAGTTTTTCAAAGGGCTTATTTGCTGTTGGAATTTAAAGTCCATGTAATTTGATGAAAATAAAAGATATATATATAACCCATAAAGAGTTGATACATCAAAAGTTGCTTGAAATAAAATATTTTGTAAGAATAGCATCAAATTTAAAATTGTTTGGAATAAATTATACTTTGAACAGTATGAATCACAAGAATACAACTCAAAATTACTCTTATGTTATTCGGAATGCAGTATTTTAAAAATAGATGTTTAATATTTTTTTAGAATGATATATTCTAAGTTTTTTTGTATTAATTTAAGTGATTGAAATAAGAATAGAGACCATTATTAGCTAATTTTTTGAATGAGATAATTTCAAGCTGTTTTTATCGTCATTTGTTTTGGATAATGTACAGTTGAATATTTGAGATCAGTATAATCTAAAACAAACTAAAGTCTATGTGTATTTGCTGAGATATATTGAGTTACAGATTTGTAGACACATTATAAGGTCATTTTTTTGTCTTGGAAATCTGATCTCAGTATAAAATTTTGACAGTGCTGGTTCATAGCTCCATTATTTTAGAATACTGTGATTTAATTGAACATAAACAGATACTCATTCACTAATAAACTCTTCTTCAGGTAAATGATATCCTTGTAAGAATTAAACGGATTAGCAAGCAATCTACTAGTTCAGAGAACAAAGAAAAATGGTAAGTCCTTATGTTTGGAAATGTATGCTGTGGACAAAGATATAAATTTGTAGGACAATTCTACAATGCAAAGTTTCTTAAACATGTCTATTACCATTGAAACAATAAATATTATCGTAATTTATTTTAAGATGTATTTGGTGTTTCAGAGGTCAATTCCACTTTTCAAACAAAATCTTTCAGGAAAGTAATGAACACAGTATTGTGAAATTCAAAGTAGACTAATTTTACCATGTGGAAGACAACTTGCACTGTTGTGTGGTGTGTTATGATAATATTGTGATTGCACTACCCATCAACTGAATTTTATACCACTGTTACAATAATCTGTTGTTAAAAAAAAAGACAATTATAGTACATTATATCTATCTTATTTATTTTTCATCAGATTTAAATTCATCTGTGTATGTATGTATATATATATACAGATCAGGTATTTCAAAAGTCATTTCCATCAGATGTTTAAAAGTAAATTCCAATGTTCATGCAACTATGATCAGAAAACTGAAGAGCACAATGTTGTAGAGACTAATATGACCATGTGGAAGACAACATACATATTGCAGTGATTTATTCAAAACTGCATGAATATAATTTCAGATAATGGCATCTGTACCCATAGGAACCATGCTACACATGGCTTGTGTATATTGTATATATACATATATATATATTATTCATACCTTCAGTGTATAGGACTCAAGCAGATTTTGACATCAAATTTTGGGGTAAAAAAATGTGTGTCTTATACACCGAAAAATACGATATATATAAATTGTTTGCGAAAACAGTTTTTTTTTCGTAAACTGTAGCTCCAAATTACATTGAGAGGCTATTATATCCTAAACTCTTTATATAGCCTATAAAATCCTCATTATATACACTAAGTTTGTACATCAAACTTTCAACTATTAGAAAAAACGAAAATAGTAACTTACATACAAAACAGTTGTGAAAAGACTTAAATTACATAACTTCACTGTTTTGTCCAAACTACAATATACCTTTGCATTTAAATCTCCACATTAACTGAATGAGTATGTGAAGTGCAGATGTAATGTTACTGTAATTCTGAATTTAGGAAGTGTATGTTTATGAAATGTGGCTTACTCTTAAGTCAACAGTACAAGTATGTTGTATACAAAAAATCATATATGTTACTAAAGTTTTATAGTAGAGAAATGTCTGAAATGCTGCCGTCAGTCTGACTCAGACAAGTTTGAATGCAAGGTGATATTCATATGAAGAATAAAAATATATTTTTGTACATTGTGTAGTTTGCAGATTGTATTTGCATAACCTCTGCAACCTCCTGCATATCTACAGTTTTTTTCAGCATCTCTGTATATTGTAGCTGGTATTTTCTCTACACTAACAGGAATGGTTGAAAAATTAGCAATGTAAGATAACATGAAATGCTGATAACTGACAACAAATGCATAATACCATGTTGAATTACACTCTGTATAAGGTCAGGGCATATACACTTTGACCCCTATCTGTGGACATAGGGTTAACATGTGCCATATCAAATTAAAAATATCAGAGATTACATTCATGAAAAGTAATGAGCTCTTTTTGTGGTAAACAAATGTTAAACGTAGCTAATAACACTTTCAAAACTGTTTGGTGTAAAAAAAATCTGACACATATAAAAATAGTGCATAATTAAAAATGAAACAGTGATACTTTTATAACTAATGTTCATGACACTGATAAATGAACTAGAAATTTCAATGTCTGCTGCTACGAACATATAAAAAAGGGGTTAAAAGTTATTTTAACCATATTTTACAATATAATGTGTATGATATCCAATATAATGTATAATTACATGGCGACAATGCCTAGTACCAAAACATTATACTTTAAAAACTGAAAAAAAGGCAGAAAACTAGGAATTATGTTGTAGAAAACTTATTATTTCAGGTATTTCTTATGAATTTCATCTAAAAATTTGAAACAAAAATTCATTAACAGGTATCATGATTCAATTGAACTAAACTATGCATGCCTATTTAAATATATGG